GGGGCGGCGGCTTCGGCGGGGCAACCTTTGTCGGCACCTCGGCGGTCCCTGCGCAGAGCAACGGGGGCGGGGGCGGCAAGCAGGTGAGGGGCAGCGCGGTGCTAGGTGACGCCGCGGATGTCACCCAAGTGACTTCCCATTCTAGGTGCCCATTCGCGGTAGGCCCTGGACACTTCACACCTGGCCACTGTTGTTAACCGAGTTGTGCCTCATTTTAAATGACAGCGTAGGAGCTCCACCGAGAGGTGCGGGAGCCGAACTGTTCTATGTTGGGCAGTTACGTTGTTTTGTATTTTTTCTGTGCAATAAATACAACAAATGAATAGTTGCTGCCATGAACTGCACCACTGGAGAAGCAGCGCCAACCCTTGGGAGGCTCTGGAGATGTGTGCTCATGTTAACCCTTAAATTTTTAGTCCAACGGAAGGATGCAGACTGTGGTCTTTGTGAGATGTTACATTGGGACAGTAACTTCTACAGTTTTTATTTATTTTCCCTTTTTGTTCTCTAATTGTGTAACAGAGTAAGCAAGAAATTCACCGAAGGTCTGCTCGACTCAGAAACACCAAATACAAATCTGCTCCAGCTGCTGAGAAGAAAGTTTCCACGAAAGGAAAAGGGAGAAGGCATATTTTTAAGTTGAAGAATGTAAGATGATTGTGAACGGTGTCTTTTACTATAATGACATTGTGTGTGTTGTGTCTTGCCTCTGCCTTCCCTATTCATCATCGAACTTGGGTGCACTTGTCGACAGCCCTGCAGTATTCTGGAGAGGAGGCCAGACTCCCTCAAAGATGTTGCAAGAGAAATTCACCCTTTTTCTTTTTTAGCTTTTATTTTTTCTTCTGGGAAATATGGAGTATGAGTCTAAGAGAAGCTTTATATCATTTATCTCATTTCATCACATTTTCTATGCAAAGAAAGAAAAGAGATTGTGGATCTCTTAGGTTTTTTTTTTTTTTTTTTTTTTTTTTAAAAAGAGATTTGTGATCTCTTTGGTTTTTTTTTTTTTTTTTTTGGTCTTTTGGAGACAGGGTCTCCCTGTAGCCCCAGCTGTCCTGGATTCACTATGGAGACCAGGCTGGCCTTGAACTCACAGAGATCCACCTGCCTCTCCCTCCTGAGTGCTGGGATTAAAGGTGTGCACCACCACGCCCGGCTAAGGTTTTTTATTAAATTCGTTCTTTGACAATTTAACGAGATTATGGGTCTTGATACATGGTTACATTAAGAAGACTTTATATTTTGTTTATTTTTATTTTATGTGTATGCATGTGTTGCTTGCATGTAGGTAGGTACACCCATGTCTCGCAATGCCCAAGAAGGTCAGAAATGGGTGTCAGATCCCTTAGCCGTCATGTGGGTGCTGGGAATCGAACCTCAGTCCTCTGCAAGAGCAGTCAGTGCTCTTAACTGCTGAGCCGCCTCTATAGCCGCTTTTCTTTTCAAGAGGAAGCAAGTAATACCAGAACTCATTCTCATATTTGTTATTATAGCCCCAGATAATATATCATTGACTCGTTATGATGAATTTTAATCAAAATTTTTCCTGAGCCTGCTTTATGAAGTGGAAGTGACTGTTGAAAATTCTATGCTAGAGATTTTTATTGTACTAAATTTTATTTTTGTAAGCATGAGGAGACGATGGACAATATTAAAGACTAGTGTGTGTTTGTTTGTTTTGAGACAGGGTCTCTATGTATCCCTGGCTGGCCTGGAACTCACTATGTAAACCTGGAACTCACAGAGATCTGCCTGCCTCTGCCTCCCAAGTGCTGGGATTAAAGACATGTGCCACCATGCCTGGCTTTACTATTTTTTTAATACTTAATTTTTATTTTATGTCTGTGAGTGTATTGCCTGCACACAAGTGCACCTGTATTGTGCAATGCCTACAAGGTCAGAAGAGGGTGCTGGATCCCCTGGAACTGGAGTTAGGAACTATTGTTAGCTGCCATGTAGGTGTTAGGAATTGAATCCCGGTCCTCTGCAAGAGCAGCCCTTAATTGCTGAACCATCTCTCCAGCCTCTTGATTAATTTTTTTTAAACTTCAGTTTGGGCCAGGTGTGGTGGCACAATGCCTTTAGTCCCAGCACTCAGGAGACAGAGGCAGGTGGATCTCTGTAAGTTCAAGGCCAACGTGGTCTACATAGTGAGTTCCAGGCCAGCTGGGGGCTACAGGGAGACCCTGTCTCAAAAAACCTCAGTTTGGCATTACTTTCAGAACAAGAATGGTAGTAAACATTTCTGAAGTTGAGTATATGATTTCTAAAACAGAGGGGCCCATTGGTATAGCCTTAGGTAGATTACAGATTCTAATTTTTATTTTTTATTCAGAGAGAGAGAGAATGAGAATGTGAATGTGAATGTGGACATGATCCAGGTGTGGAGGTCAGAAGGTAACTTTCAATAGTTCTTTCCTTTGGTTCCTGGAATCCAACTAGGGTTGTCAGACTGGCATCACAAGTACCCATTGAGCCATCATATTAGCTAGAGATTCTTAAAGTAATTGCTCCTAATTTAGGATTTCTATAATTTAATTTTCTTAAATGAAGCATTTGTTGATAAGACATTTTGAATATTCGTTTCTATTTGTATCACAGGTGTTTTATCTTTTAAGTTACTTAAGTATTTAAGTCCATGTTGTCCACACTTATTTCATTATAATTTTTTCTAACTCCTTCAAGAGTGGTATCAAGTCAGATTTTTAATGTTGTGATGAAATCTATATTGCAATTTAAGAAGAGCCTTCAGTGATGGCTGCAATATGGCTAATTCCTAAGAGTTCAGGCTGGCAACAAAGTTAAAGATGTCTTCAGGGAGACACTTTTCATTTTGTATTCATCTGTTCATCTGCAAGTTTTTTTAAATTATTTCCATTTTGTCATGCCCAGACTTTTTAGAGCCAGTATATTGTGTTTTGTTTTGTTTTTTTTTTTTTTGGCTTTTTGAGACAGGGTCTCCCTATAGCCCCAGCTGTCCTAGAACTCATTATGTAGATCAGGCTGGCCTTGAACTCACAGAAATCCGCCTGCCTCTGCCTCCCGAGTGCTGGGATTAAAGGTGTGTTTAGAGCATATTCTTATAGCTGGAATTTTAGTGTCTGGTAGAGCTCTGAGGAAGCTTGGTATTCGATCTTCACATCATAATTAGAAACTCTGTCTCTGTTTCTCAGCAGTTTGAAGCTATAGATAGGGAAAATGGTGGAAACATTCAACTGCTTCATATCAACACTCAAGAAATCTATTTCTTCCCTTTTTTATTTTTATGGTTGTTGACTCTTGCTATATAACCCAGACAGTTTTGGAACTTGCCATCCTCCTACCTCAGCCCTCCAAGTGCTGAGATTGTATGTGTTTACTGTCATATCTGCTCAGAAGTTTCTGTAGTTCTTGTCACCAAATAACAAATTTTTACATTTCTCAGTTTACACAATTCTCATATGGTTGGGAAAATGCCTGTACATACTATGCAGGCATACAAATGTTTTCCTTTTGTTTTCTCATAGCCTATCAAAGCTCCTGAGTCTGTTTCCACCATAATCACTGCAGAATCAATCTTCTACAAGGTAAGCCTCTGTGGAATTACTAAAAGAAGAGTTGGGCTTGTTGTGTAATGTGCTCCTAACATTTGGCTTATTCTATGCCTCTGCTACTCTGTGTGTGTGCAGAGGCCGTGGTTATGCTCTTTGTTCCCTTCTAAGCTATTTTCCCCTACAGGTAGCTGTAGGTGATAGAAGACATCTCATCCAGAGCTGAGGTAGGAAGAGATCTTGCCTATGGAAATACGATGTGAAGGTGCTAAGGCATTGTTCTTAAAACTCTAGCTAGTGTATAGTGTGGACAGTGTAAGAGTGAGTCATCTATCCCATATAAAGGCATTGAAGGGTGAGAAGGACAAAGGTAGGATATGGACTAATAGATTGAATGTAGACCATGATGCCTGGTGAGTAGAACAAGCTAGAGATTTCAAAAGGCTTTAAAGCAGATCCAGGAGAGATAAGAGCAGTAGTATACATTCAAACTTACTAAAAGTTTACCAAGAGAGTCTAAGGAGTATTTTTTTCAGGAATATTCTCAGTTTATATCTGATATTTCAAATACCCTATATTGAAATATACCCAATTTTAGGGTCTATACAAAGTTAGATGCAAAATATTTAACATGGATTGTCACACAAAAGTAGAGAAAAGGCAAACTGCTTCTCAGCCACTTCTGCCTGTATGAAGCACTAGAATATTAAGGCCAAGCACAAGCATTTGCAATAAAGTTGTATTTTTCTAGTATGGTTCTTTATGCTCATGGTAAATTTTTTCTTGTAAACTCAAAGTTGAGGGAATATAGAGTTGAGCTTAACAAGACTATTCCAATTTTTTTTTTGTTTTTTGTTTTGTTTTTAAAGTGAGAAGATCCCCCTTGGACTAGCTACAGGTATCTCTTCAGTGAGAGATGTCTCCTTACGTTTAAAGTGGAAGAGGTAGGAAAGGAGTTAGAACATAGAAAATCTCTCTGAGGGTGGCCAGCTGGAGTAGGCAGCAAGCATTAAAAGCTCTTTGATGTTTGGGGATTTGAATTGTCTGATAGGAAGCAGTGGTGCTTTATGCTTGACCCAAGTGGACCAAACCCCAGAGCATTCAAATGGTTATAACCTTTGAGTGTATTTATTTTTGTTAGCCCATAGTTGGTACAGTCGAAAACAGCCTGACACAGGCAAATACTTCGCCTGTAGTTCTAGGATTTTATACACTGATAATCATAAGGTCTTGGAGCTTATTGTGTCTATGATGTGTATCTGGCAGTGAACTGAGCATTTTACATGTTTTATTTCATTCAACCTGAACTGGGTACTGTTTTATTCATTTGATGGATGAGGGCACTGACACAGATTAATTAGCTTGCCCAAGATTACATAGCTAGAAGTCATGGAGCAAGGAAATCTGACTCTAGAGCCTAAGTCCTGACCTCAGATCTTGGTTCCATTGCTTGGCAAGTGACTGTGCTGCTAAACTCCGATGTTTCTTCATCTGTATAATAAGGATTATAAATAATTACTCGCAGAGATCATGTTCGACATTTAACAGGGTAACTAATCAATGAATGATATAAGTGGTAATCTACAGATTTGTATAATATTTTTCCAACTGATCATACAGTTTATAGATTAAGCCTAAAAGATAAAAATTTAGGGTACTGGTCCATGTGTATGTCAATGGAAAAGCATGTGGGACTTGTGATTGCAAGTATCAGTATTTTCATATTGCTATCTACTGCCATGTTTATTAAATAGTAAGACCAAAACACAGCTAAATAGTCAAGTAATATTGCAGATAACCAGCAGTGTAGACACTGTCACAGCAGACCCAACATCGTAGTGACAAGTTAAAGAGGTCAGTGTGAGCCACTGAGCTGAGCTGGACCCCAGATCAAACAGGTGAGAGGGAAATGAATGGGAGTCACTGGGAATGACAGACAAGAGTGTGGGTATGCAGAAAGCAGAATGGGTAAGTGGCTTTCTGGAGCACTGCATGGCAGAGCAGCTGCATGAACTCAGTCTGGTTATTCCTAATCCAATATTCACTATATTGTGTGCGCCTTCTTTCTCTGCCAACAAACAGACTGCTTGGATCGAGTGCCATAATGCTGTTTGGTGTTATATATTTGTATGGTAGTCTCCCCTTATCTGCAGTTTCAGTTCTATTTTATTAATAGTTATTGTTATTAGTCATTAAACTTTATCATAAGTTTGGATGTATGGGGGAAACATGGAATGCATAGAGTAGCAGTATTCAGGGTTTCAGGTACCTTCTGGAATCTCAGAATGTAAGCCCACAGATAAGGGGCGACCACTGTGCAAAGTACATGTTGATACAACATCTCATGTGCCAGGCACTGCTTGCCACTGAAACTTTTCACTAAGACATTATCTTTGAATTGTAGTTCTATTTTCACACTGCTATATATTATGATTAATATTCAGTATATATTTTGAGTGCCTGTGATAAGCAAATATAATTTCTAATTTAGGGGAACTTTCAAGGTGTGACTATATCAGATAACAAGCATATACTATCGGATAAAAACCTTGAAACTCTGGAGTAGTGTATGCAGGAAAGAACCAATTGACAATGGGTATAAACTAATAAATAAAAGATTACCTGAAATAATAGTGCACATTCGGTAATCAAGTTCAGACAGTCACCTCAGACCATGAATAAGTATTTGCTGGGAGAAACTTGTAGCCTGTCAGGTACCCATGGTGCAGTTGAATTACTGGAAATATTTATTCAGAATTTTTTCTGTAAACTAGATGTATCTTTGCAGCTTTGGCCACTACAAAAACCCTGTTTTAAGGAAAGCACACACCATTTCTACAGTTGAAACAAGTATGGCCTATTGAGAACTGCACCCCCTTTGAGTAGTGCTAAGTACCATAAAGGTCAGCTGCTAAGGATTTTCAAAGAGCAATTATTTCCAACTCAAGACCCAGAGAAGAGGAGCTGGGATGGATAGCAGAGACATAGGGAGAATTCAGTCTTGGACTTGTACAGATGCGTTAGCTGGATATAAAGTAGAGCAGGCAATGGGTAAAACACAAACCTTAGAATACCAGGAATGCCATTTATATTGTGGGAAGACAAAACTAAAAGTGAGTGGAAGAGATAGTTGTCAAGAAGTCTGAGAAATGTAACTTGAGGGTAAATACATCCTAATACTCATAAAATAAGTTTTTGTCATTTCTTTTGGTTTGAACTTAAAGTGTTTACTTTCTTTGAATGGACACTTGGGGAGGGAAGTATGTAGAGTACATTATCACCAGGTAAGCACTGATTTTTAAGGCAGTACAGGGAAGATCACTGAACTAGTTAGTGTGGGTGCACAGGTTGCATTTGCTTTGTGTGGACTTCAGCAAGTCACTTAACTTTTCTATAGCTAAATGGCTGGGTTAAAAAAATAGGAGTAGGAGCTGGAGAGATGAATGACTCAGCAGTTAAGGGCACTGGCAGCTCCTGCAGAGGACCTGGTTTGATTCCTAGCACCTACATGGCAGCTAACAGCTGTCCGTAACTCCAGTTCCAGGGGAATCCAATACCCTCTTATGACTTCTGCAGGCATTACACGACACACGTGCACTTACGTGTAGGCAATACACTCATACGTAAAATAAAAATAATAATTTTTTTTAAGTAGGGGTAATGTAGAGCACAGAGGATTTTTAGGTCCTTGAAACAACTCATTGACATGATGGTGGTGGATACATGTCCTTATAATTTCCCCAAACCATCGAATATACAGCACCAAGATTGTGCTATAAAGTAAACTTAATGGGGGTTGCTGTGCGTGTGCCAGATTAGAGGACTAGGGGATAAGTCCCCTCTGTAGTTTCCATGCCGTTTTTGTTTTTGCTATGAACTCAAAACTACTCTTAAAATGAAGTCTTTTTTTAAAAGTAGGGATAGTGCATTCATGATTTTAAAAAATCAATTTAAGCCGTGCGTGGTGGTGCATGCCTGTAGTCCCAGCACTTGGGAGGCAGAGGAAGGCGGATCTCTGTGAGTTCAAGGCCAGCCTGGTCTACATAGTGAGTTCCAGGACAGTTGGGGCTTACAGGGAGACCCTGCTTCAAAAAGACAAAAAAAAAATCAGTTTATATAAATATTTTCTCCAGATGCATATAATGATATATGTATGTATATGTAATTATTTTTCACTCAAAAGTGAAATAAGTCTCAAACATAACATAAATATTGATACTCAGACTTTTTTTTAGTACTTTGAAAATTTGCTCATATTAAAGAAGTTATGTTTGGTTATGTGATGTTCTGGTTTGTTTCTTTTTTTGGTCTTTTTGAGACAGGGTCTCCCTGTAGCCCCAGCTGTCCTGGAACTCACTATTGTAGACCAGGCTGGCCTTGAACTCACAGAGATCCGCCTGCCTCTGCCTCCCGAGTGCTGGGATTAAAGGTGTGCGCTACCACGCCTGGCTGATGTTCTGTTTTTAATATGAGATTATCTTCTGTTTCCTCCAGGGAGTATATTACCAAATTGGTGATGTTGTTTCTGTGATTGATGAACAAGATGGAAAACCCTACTATGCTCAGATCAGGGGCTTTATTCAGGACCAGTATTGTGAGAAAAGTGCAGCCCTAACATGGCTCATTCCTACCCTCTCAAGCCCCAGAGACCAATTTGATCCTGCATCCTACATCATAGGTAAGGTTGACAATGGCATGGCTTCTTAAATTTAATTAAGTCTCCAATATTATATGATAGAATGTGTTAGTCTGCTTGGGCCATCATAACAAAATGCCCAGACTTGAACAACTGACAATTCTGAAGGACGGACGTCAGATCAAGGTGCTGTCTGGATATGTGGTAGGCCTTGCTTCCTGGCTTGCAGAGAGCTCCCTTTTCGCTGTATCCTCTCATGGTCTTTTCTCTGTGTGAGCACATTAAAAGAGAGCTCTCTGTTGTCTTTTATAAGAACATCAGTCTTCTCACCCTTCTGTCAAGTTTGTTACATGACCACACAGTTCTTACTTTGTGCTTACAAGTACAGAGCCAGCAGAGGCCATTTTGTGTCAAAATTATTTCCAGGCTTCTCTCTGTCCTCTTTCTGATCCACAAAGTTTGAGGTGCTTCCCTGCCCTAGATGATATAGCACAATGTAAGAGTCAGAGCACAAGCTCTGGAGCCAGACTACTGGGTACTAGCCTACCACTTCACCAGTTTTGTAATCTGTCTTTCCTCATTGTCCTCCTATGTAAAATAGGGAACAGTAGTGCCCTCTTGAGAGAGTTGTGAGGATTCAACTCACATGTGTAAAGTGCTTCAAACACTACAGATGCTTCTTAAACCATGTAAGTGTCTGATAATTTTAGAATCCTTTCTCAAGTCACTGTGGGAGGATGCTATATTTTTTAATCACTTTAAATAATAAATAATGGAGAGTGACTTCAGAGTGATACTTGTTTCAAATGCCAATGTCAGACACCCCCAGAGTACATCCCTCTTAGTGTCTAATAAGAGGGCTACCATTTTATGAAAATGATATCTACATTCAGAACTATATTTAACTTTTCCATTGGCTGCCTTTTAGGGCCAGAGGAAGATCTTCCAAGGAAGATGGAGTACTTGGAATTCATTTGTCATGCACCCTCTGAGTATTTCAAATCAAGATCATCACCATTTCCTACAGTCCCCACCCGACCAGAGAAAGGCTACATATGGACTCATGTCGGACCTACTCCTGCAATAACTATTAAGGAAACAGTTGCCAACCACTTGTAATTATAAAACCAAAATTGGGGCATGCTTATCTAGCATGCGTAAGGTTCTGGTTTTAATCCCTTGTGCATGCACACCCCCAAATTAAAACTGGGTTTCCAGTTTTCTTGTATTAATGCTATAATGAGATATGCCACATGTTTCTCTCTTAAATTGAAAAAAAATTTTTTTGAAAATTTTTGAGACAAAGTCTCACCATGTAGCTCATGCTGGCCTTGCCCTTGAGATCCTTCCACCTCATCCTCCTGGAGTACTGGTGTTACATATGTGCTCCACCATGTCTGGCTAATGCTAGATGTTTCTTTCATGAAATTCCTACATGGAAAAATGTCTTAAATTTTTTTTTTTTAATCCTACTACCCAGTAATAACTAGCTTATTACCTGTTTCTTAGAAAAATCACAAAAGCTAGAAAAGAATGAAATGTTGATAGTTGAATTTAATATTATGTTCTGTGTGTATTTCCCAAGGCAAAGGCTATAAATTCCAGAGAGGCCATTAGGAACATTAAGTGTCTGTTTTCCTTCATAATTTATTTCTAGAAATTCATAAAATGAATTTTATTTTTATACAGGTAGAAAATACCAAGTTTGGGTTTCTGATCAAGGAGTAAATCAAACACAGTGTTAATTGTGATCAGCAATATGTTTCATAAAGCCACACAATCTTTTTTCCTTCCCTAGAACAGACTTTGGCTCTGCTTTAACCCTATAGAAAGCAACTGATAGATGATAATGTTAGCCCAGGCTTTTTCATACTTTCATCTAACTCTCTGTAGGCATTCAGGAGCATTCAGTTGCCCTCAGTAGAACTGTTCTTCACTGCTGTCCCATTTCCTCTGTGAGACTGAGGCTTCAGCAAAGCCTTTGTTCTACAGTGGACATCACCTCACTCCACTCTTGCATACAGCAAACCTGAGCTGCTTAGGCAGCCCCTGTGAAGATTTCCTGACTGTTGTAAGAATAGAGACTGGTGTTCTTGAAAGTGACTGGTAGATCATTAGTTTTGATAGCTAAAAATGTCCCCAAATTAAACTATGTGCTGAAGACTCCTCATGACAAGCTTTGGCCTGGGAAAGCCTGCCTAAGCTTTAAGTGCAGGTCAGTTGCATGGTAGGGGAGGACTTTGGAGGCACCCACTTGCTGCCTCTGCTCTGATTTAACTGGAAGTTTTGAACCATAGGAATTTGTGAGAATCTGATTTGATCATAATTGTTTCATTACAGCTCTGTTACTCTTTCTACATGCAGTTCCACAGTTGGGAAAAGGCATCTTCCTTGTCACAAAAGCTACAATAAAATTTATTGTAAATACTGTTGTACATGACTTTCTAAATGTTACTGTTCCAAACTCTTGGATTAAAATATTTTTTACAGTATGTTTATTTTGGATTTGTTTCACTTACTAATTTTTATTTTTATTTTATGTGTATGTGTTTATTGCCTGCATGTAGGTGAGTGCACCTGTGTCGTGCAATGCCCGCGGAGGACAGAAGCTGTTGGATCCTCTGGAACTGGAGTTTCGGACAGTTGTTAGCTGCCATGTGGGTGCTGGAATTCAAACCTAGGTCTTCTGCAAGAACAACCAGTATGCTTAACTGCTGAGCTATCTCTCCAGCCCCTCACTAATTTTATTTAAACATTTAAAATAAAGTTTGTTTTATAAAAACGGTATTAAATAGAAGCATCAATATTATCATACTCCAAATTTGGAATGGACAAGCTTCACCATCTTAATAATTTTGGAAAAAAAATCAAAGAATGACTGATTGATTAAATGAACATTTAACATTTTTTTAAATAGAGAATTTAGAAATTCAGTTTATTTTTGACAATTTTTTATTCTGACCATTGCTTGTATGGTATCTTTTATAATGAAGATTAAATTTTCATTTTCCTATTCAACCCAATGCCAGTGGCTCCCATTGATTACAGAGTTAAACTTTGTTGTCTAAAATTTGCCCTGATAACTGGTCTTGTTAGGATTCCCAGCCTGCCCCCCAGTTCTCATTAGCATTAACTGATGTACACCCTCAGTTTCTTAGGGCTGCACTCTTATTTATACTGCTTCATCCCACTCCAAAGACTTTTCAAGGCCCTTTGTGTGTGCATGTGTGTCGGCAGGTTGGTTGGTTCTGGAACTCAAACTCAGTATCTCACACAGTCTAGACAAGGGCTCTACTACTGAGCTACATTCCCAGCCCCAAACCCTTAAATTTTGTTTTGTAAAAGTTTACAGTTTCTCTGGCTCCTAGAAATCAGTCCTACTCTGTGATTGCATTTCAGTTTTGACTTCTGTGGTCCCACTCCTACCTTGAGTGTTGTTTCTCGGTTGCTAAGTGATGTGTTTTATTTGCTCAACTGCAGTTTCCACAGTACCCAAATTAGGTCCTCACTAATAGGGGATGTTTAGTATAGAGTTCAAATTATATACTGTTGAGCTGGGCATGGTGGCATACACCTTTAATCCCAGCACGTGGGAGGTAGAGGCAAGAGGATCTTTGAGTTCAAGGCCAGCTGGAGCTACAGGGAGACCCTGTTTCAAAAACAGAAAAAAAA